CCCATGGTAGCCGGTGACCAACAACAGGTTCATACACCTTTTGTTGCCTCGGCATCCTGAAACCTATGTGCACCATTGGTTTGGAATCAGGGTTTTCTAACTCATTTAGGTGGATCATCCGTTTACACTCACCCAGTTTAAAAGCCGAACATCCTGTTTTCGTCCTCTCAATTCCTTAAGCAACACCCCTCCTCACTTGATAATGCAGTCTGGAGGACTCCTCTGACAGTGGCTAATAAATGCGTGGTCACATGAGGACATTTGTGGTGGGTGCTCTCCTAACCCTCATCCATCTGGGGTATTTGTAGAATCTTGGAGAGTAACTTACAAGAAGGTATAAGTCAATGTTCAGTGCTTGTTGGGGTACGTCATACAGTGAGGTATATCCGTTACCAAGTCTTTTAACCAAGCATATAACTGATAATATAGTAAGTATCTCATTCCAAATGACTGTTATTATTTTGTGATGTAAATATATGGCACTGAGCTATATATTAAAACATCTGTTTAAAACAGATTAACTTTGCTCACTGGTCAGCCGGATCAAATTCTTTTCTAGAAGAGATAAAACATCTATACTTAACAAATAAATGTTCACATACATCTGTCTAGATAAAAATCCCTTGTTGATTCCTTATTATCATATCTTTATCAGTCCATCCTTCATGATCTCCAACTCAGTATACAAATCTTTCGATTTGTTTTAAAATTAAAAAAAAATACTAGTAATAATAATCGTTATTTGTTCATTAGGGTGATTAGAAAAACACTTACCATTGCCTTCTAAATACAGTTCATCTGCAATTCGTTAGAGGAGGATCTAATTTGTTATATGCTAATGAAGAATAAATGAGTGGTAACTGCTAGGGATTATTTATGAACTATTATTACGTAGATTCCTATTTGATAACTTAAGTAACTAGATTATATGTATATTCATATTTCTTTTATCATAAGCTTTTATTTGACCTATCGACCATTGTTATACGATATAGTATTAACTTATTTGCAAATAATTAGTTACAGTCTCTCACAATCATAACCACTTTTGACTTGATCTTTCATAACTGTTATTCTTTATTTTATAGTGTGATGCTGTCAGGTTTGCTTGTGTATAAACTACGTGTCTGAAACTTACTATACACACAATAGAGGTTGAAGTTGCGTTCTAGACTAAACGGGCAAGGCTAGGTGAGAATGACCAGTAAAGACTCAGAGTTGACTCAAGGTTGCTTGTGCTTGCTAACGAATCATTAGTTTAGCACATGGATAAGGTCAAGGAAGTTGACATTCTGATTGGCGGTTTTGTCACCTGATAATTCACAGGGGCAAAAGTCATATCATGATTAAACTTACAATATTGTAACGACCTTTAAAAGAAGTTCTTCATTAGTTATTCTAATGGTTTTTATCGTTAATACTTTTTAGTTCACTTATAATATTGTTATTAAATCAATGACTATCATAAGACTGATTCGTATCAATCAAACTTTTCAACTGATTGACTTAGTAGTAGTTGAAATCACTACACAACATAACGATAGCTTTTTAATCATCATAATAATCTTAATTTACAATTCAGTTCCACTAATCAATAAATGTTTACTTATAATCGATAATTGTGTTACTTTACCATGATAAAAATGAATTGGTTACCTGTTTTTCTATACAAAATAAGGTCGAATGAATAACGTCTACGGTGATTATACGATATACGATGAGCAAGAAGACCTTATTCTAAATCAACAATAAAAAAACACTCTAGAAGTATATATCACGAAGCGGTAGCGTTTAGCTTTCAACAACTAACTACTAGGTCACTGGGAAAATGAGTCCCGATCCATACATTTTGGTTAGGTTAACCCGGCGAAAGTAGTAGTAGTAGTATGTATGGATCGGGACTCATTTCCCCAGTGACCTAGTAGTTAGTTGTTGAAAGCTAAACACTACCGCTTCGTGATATATACTTCTAGAGTGTTTTTTATTGTTGATTTAGAATAAGGTCTTCTTGCTCATCGTATATCAAGCAAAATTGATATATAGGTAGATATTCATATAGGTATGTATTCAGTTGGGTGCATTGGTGAGTTGTGATTGTTGTTATCTTGGTTTTGTCTCTAGGTCATACCGTACACCACACATACACATAAATATTGTGAACTGAATTCGACAGACCAAATCAAATGACTAGTTCACATTAATAAAGAGTCCAAAAGCGTGCGTACTTGCGTGTTTGTGTATGTGCAGCGTTAATATTTCTATTTGTTTGCCTGTTCGGTTTTTGATCGATCGTGTTTGTTTTAACACTTGTTATAATAATAATAATACAATGGCCCAGTCTCTTCTATTTATAAACGTTTGTGCGGAAAGTAGTTGGAAACAGTCGCTATCTTTCCTTCGTCATAGATTTGTTTCTACTATACAATTGTATTGTAGTAAACGACAACGCACTTGTTGATTGAAATAATAATAGTCATTATTATTGTCATCACTAGTATAATAGATAGATGGATATATCTATGATGAAGGGAAGATAGCGTTTGTTTCCAATTTCTTTTTGCTCACACTCCTTTATGAATAAAAAAGAGTGGGCCATTGTGTTTGTTTTTCGTTGTTGTCTGTCTGCATATCCGTCCACTGTCATTCAACTGGAAAAATCGATTTCTTAATTTCTCTTCCACATCACATTCATTCAATCATCCATGCATTTATTATTCAGTTTTCATTTAGTATATTGAATTGGTAACAAAAAAAACTTTCACCACACTATATTGTGTAATGCGCACGTACATGTGTAGGCGCGCGCGTGTATGTGTGTGTTTATGCACTTGTGGGCGATATGTGCATGTTTCTTTGTTGGTACGACTGTATAAAGGTATTTATGACCAGTTTTTTTTAATGGAAAAAAAGAATCATATAAAATGTGTCTCCTAAGTCCATTACTGAATGTGTAACAATTTGAACTTTACTGATACCGTTATCACTATTATTATGATTACTGCTAAAAAAACTGGTTTGAGTCCACTCTATTAGCGTAACCAATGTCTAAAGATGTTGGGTCATCGTAGCGCAGGTTCACTTACTCTTCACTTATATATTGAGTATCAAGATTATCTTACAGTTTTTTGATTCCATGAATTTCTTATTCTCTTCTTAGATCATATCGCACATGCTTAACATTTTCTCCTATCACTTATACCGTTACTACTTCGACTAACACAGTATGTCGCATGTTATTAATGTGATATGACAACTTGGTTTAACATTGAAGCCCAGTATGAATATGTGTATTAGCTCAAGTCCCTATATAATATTATCACAATGAGATAATGAAATTAACAGGTAATAAATTGCTAAAACATATCGTAATAATGATAATGAGAAAGACTGAACATTCGGAATATAATTGAAAAATACAGAATAGATAGGAATACATAAAAGTATATTGAAATTCAAGATCGATAGAAATAAATCAAGAGTGAATGCATCTGAATCATTGTGATTATCTCTAAGCTAATATATTTGACTGTAATTGTTCAACCTTCTTGAGGTAAAAAAAAAATTATTTCAAATATTTCAATTGGATCCTCTACCAATTAAAAGGTAATCTTCCAAATCGTCTCTTAAAACGTTTTCATGTTTATAAGTTATAAATCCCCGAATGCACCATGTATTTAATTCCATTTATCATTATAATATAGTAAAGTATTTCAAAAAAAAAACATTCTGTTCAGTTATGTCAAAGTAAAGGTATTCAAGATAATAATTTGTTTATAATTAATATTGAATATTCTCTTTTCATCGTTAATGTTGTTAATTAGTCAGAATTAAGGTATGTTGTTGATGGCCTTGGGGGAAATTGAGGTTAGTCAATCAGAGTAGAGTTTTTGTAAATGAAATGGATATCACGAAAAGACGTTGAAATTATAAAGAATGTAAAGTTTTAGAGTGCTAACATTGGTACTCCTAAAACAATCTCATTTCTCCACCTTATGCCTTCACCGCATATCGTTTTTCTGACCACAACTGTTTGACATACTTTTTCTCAATAATTCAACATTCAGGTGATCTATAGTCATATCATCGTCATCATGCAAGCAGGGTGGCTGATCCTCAGAAATCACTTCGTAAACTTTTTATTTTTGTGATTTAATCGTGGGAATTTGAATTTTCTCATTTTCGCGCCAAAGCCCTCATTATTAACTTCAGTTTGTACTTCTCACCTGTAAGGACCTTAATCACCATTGGTTCGTTTGCTTTTTAGTAAGCTATTTTGTGACGCTTTTCAACGGCATTTTTGTATTTTAGATATTACGCATGAGTTGTGCACTTGTTATCCGTTTATCTGGACTGCTTGTAAGAATATAAACAAGCATGGATAGTGGTTAGCAGTGGAATCCAGCACGCGCCTTTCATCCTATTTGAGACTCATCAGCCGGATGTACCTGCATCATACATTTGGTGTTCACTCTGGTACTCGAACCCAGTACCGTTCGCTTCAAACGCCATCTCTTTATCCACTTAGCTACTGAGTCCTGACAGCCACTTGCTTGTGCAGTAAATAGCATATGCACATATGCCAATAAGAGACTGATCAATTGCAGTCCTAATCATCAATGGGAATATTCAAGTAAACAATACCAAGTGCTTGTAGGAATATTTTCCCTTCTGAATCTGGTCTTTTTCCTCTAGTTAACTGGGCTGGGGCACGAAGTCCAATTTACCCTGTTGTTGCGTTGCTGTTTTTCGTTCTGTTCGCCGGTCTAAGGTGACATCATAACCTCTAGAACATAGCACATCCAAGTTAGCTAAAACTCGAAATCTCTTCAAAAATAAGGTATTCAGCACCAGCCAGACCTATCTGAAGTTTTGTTTTAAAACCCAAGTATAAATTTAGCAATTGATATCTTCAAGCTGATTGGCTAGTTCCATTTTATTTTAAGACTACTGGTATACTTCAATTATTCTGTTGCTTTTTTATTCTTGTTGCACCATTCTAGTTGAACGTCGACGTCGAGATAGAATTAATACGTGGATAAGTGAATTGTATAAATTATTACCACCGGATGAGCAAACTAAATCACAATATCAGAGTAAAGGTATTGTATTAAAACGTGTCTGTGAATATTTTCAAAATGTGGATAGTATGCTGAAAGCAGCTAATTCAGCAGTTGAACAAGTATGTTTTTGTATAGTTTGTGTGTTGTTTTTTACTTGTTTTTGTCGTCTCATCTTTTGTTTCATGATGATAGTATCAATGTAGGTAGATGAAGTTGGTCACCAATCGGATCCCAGTTTAGTCGGCACCAAAGTTCCCTAATACGGCTGAAGGGGGTCCACTACCCTCTTGAAATGCTCCCATTTGGCTATGGATATATAGCCGCTGACAAGGTAATGCTGCTCATTGTCTTCTCGTGGCGTGGTTGTTCACGAAATTGGGAGGACGAAAAGCCAATATCCCGCTCTGGCTTAAAGCGGATAGAACTGAACAAATAGAAGGTTTTTAATTGAAATAATAGTCGAGAACATTCCCGAAGATTATAGTCGATCATGGTAAATCTAAAAATTTCGGTCGACCTTTGAGCGATCCCAGAAGGACCCCACGAAAACTCGCCTACCCACTAGGGTTTAATGAGGGTTAAAACAGTATGAGAAAATAGAATCGGGATCTAAATTTAAAGTTTTCATCACTAACTGGCAGCAGCTGTTTTACCATATGAAAGGATGAATTCAAGACTCGCTATTTAATATGTGATTGGTTCACCCATAAACTTTAGTCTTGCCATCTTTCTATTTATTAATGTCTCCTATCCGAAGCTAGTTACAGTATGCATTAACAAGCTAATTCCAATCATATTCACTAACCCTTTTTATGTATCTACACGAAATATAGTTGAATAAACTAATTTCATCTGACTGTCTTACAATCTTATTGAAATTGCTGACCGATCTAAGTTAAATAACCACTGGAAATACTGAAGCACTAAACGTCCGTCTCAACCTAGCATGGTAATCCTCAGTAGGGAGTTTTCATAACCCCAGTAGTTTGGGGTTTGAACCCCAGGATCTTTGATCTTCTACATGAACCATAAGATCCGAAGGTGTACGAGTCACTGTGACTACCTTTCATTATCTTCAGTGAATACCTTTCCGACACACTTGATATAGTTGAACTTCATTATTTTCATTTGCCTTTTTTTATTCTAATCATCATCAACTGTTATTTCTGTTAGCATTAAATTTCAGATTTTATTCCTTAATTTACTTTTATTCATAATGTATATAGTACTTATTGTTGGTACAATGTAAAATTGTCAATTTGGCAAAATAAACATTGCCAATGGATAAACTGTGTTATTATGCCTTATACCTTTGTGGATATCACAATCAATAAGTCAGTTTTCAGCTGATTCCAATTAATCCTGTGTCTAAACACATAAACTATTCAAAAAAAATTATGTGTGTGTAATAGTCAGTCGATCAGTCACGATGTTGGATTCATTGATCATTTTACTTACCACCATTAACTACTATTACTGTTACTACAAGTATTAGTGCTTGTTCACGCATGTTTTTACTTATTTTATTTGTTCATCTATAAGTTATTATGCATGTGTGTGTATACATATGTTTTACGTCTGCCAGATATTTCAGTTATTGAACATGTTTAGTTATCGTCTTTTTTTTAATGTCATCATTACACAGATTACCAAAAATTAAATTAAACTGTGATTTTGCAAATATAAACATCCATGTAAGAATAGCTAGCTGTATACAAAAATATGTATAGCATCAGAGCCGCTACGATGATAATCATACATGTTTGAGCCAGTGAATTCAGTTTCCCGAAATATTGGTACTGAATCACTGTAGCAGAACATATGTTACACCAAACCTTGATATTACTAACGTGACTTCGCCACTGAATGTCAGCAGTCCTTCAGAGACAACAATAGTCGAACAAAGAGATTCTTTGAACCATCTTAGCTCGGAGGGACCAGGTTAGGCGGGGGGGGGGTAATCCGCCTTCATTTCCACTGTGCGTAAACTGATCTCATCTCCAGTGCTATTTCCAGTACATGAACGTTTCAGTTATCAACAGTAGCTCACTGCAAAGAATGAGTGTTAGCATAGGCTTATGCAAACTTTCCAGAGGTCCTTTGCACTTCGAAAGTGCAAAGTATTTGGTATATATGACATTAATTTTTAATTCTGCAGGTGTGATTTTGGTAGCCATTAACCATAAAAAGTTCGCTCGACGTTCGTTTACTGAGAAACATAGAGCTTATGTCTATTATTGGCTTAGAATCAAAATTTTCCAGCTTCTCTTCATTTTCGGCCATATCAAAGTTTTAAGTGCTAAGTTAACTTTACAACTTTTTCTCAACATTACTAGAATCAATTCAGTTCATTGAAGTACCACAGTCGTTTCCGACAATAGCTTCTCTAATTATAGATTTCGATTAATTTTACGGTTTTCATTCTGAATCAGTTTCACTTGTGGAACTTTTTGAAATTTTCATATCGTACAATGATGTTTCGGCTAAAATATAATTTATAAGTGAACCAATCAAACTTAAGGTAGCGAGTTTAGGATTTTACCGCAAAATTCATCCTTTCATATGGTAAAATAGCTGCTGCCAGTTAGTGATGAAAACGCCTACTCTAATTCCTAACCCTAAATTTAAATTTAAATCCCGATTCTGCTTCCTCATATTGTTTTAACCCTCATTAAACCCTAGTGGGTAGGCGAGTTTTCGTGGGTCCTTTTGCTGCCACTAAAAAGTCATTCATAAGTTATCATTTCTTCGTCCTTGAATTCATTTTTCCTTATCATAAATTGTTTTAACAACGAAAACAGACTAGTGTGTATATGTGTGTGTCTGTGTAATAGATGTTTTGTCCATGAAAGTAATCCAAAATTAAATCTTATCTAATAAATCACCAACCTTTAACGTAGCCTAGGCATTTGTCACATGATAATGGTGTTAATGTGTTGAATTCCTAAAAACCTTTTTTCTTGACTCATTTTTAAGCAAATGTGCCTGGTAAAACTGATTAGTTGCACAGGTAGTAAAGATAACATTATCGGAGAAGTGTCGATAAGGGGATAAAAAAACTATTAATTGATGAAGAGATTAGATTGTGAACTCGGTTTTGAGTCCTGATTGAGATGTTGTCATTACTCGGTTGCCCATATCGAGGAAGGATTTTTATTATCGAAGTTCCAGATTAGGAAAGTTGTTTAGTGGATTGTCTTGACAATCTGAGATCGTGACCATAATGCCGTAAGAACAACTGCTTAGGACGTGTCACATAGACTTTTTGTGACTAGTTATTAATGTGTTGGTTTTGTAATTTTAAGACTATCACCTGTATCTGGAATCCGTAGGGTTTAGGTGAGGTGTGTTATTCGTAGAGCTGGATATTCCTAGTACTTTTGTTTAATTGTGAACAAGAAGCATCACTGCATATACTGGTTGTATGAGGGAAATACAAATCTCTACACGTTCAATAGTACCACTTCTCTGCGTTTTAGTCTTACCACTCTACAACCTACCTGCCTCAAATGATTAGGCCTAGTTTATTTGTTTGTTTTTCTAAATAAATAAATATTAGTGTAAAGGGGAGCAATATAAATATGCGTCACAATAGGGAGAAGGAAGGTGAGTATAATAAAAGTAACAGTGAATGAATAAAACCAAATGAACTAGAGTATTATATTATTGGAAGAAGCAGTTCAGTTAAGAAAAATATAATGAAAATAGAATGCTTCATTTAAAACAATTCCTCTCACTTATATGAAGTCAAAGAAAATTACAACAGGACCTCCACTGGCTTGTATGTATCCCGAAACATGCTTAACAATATATTAAGCCACCGCGTTGGACTATAGAACTCCAATGAAGCAGTCGTGAAGGTCCAGGGGATATCAATCTTTTAAGGTTCATTTCATACCATGACAACACCATTTCATACGCAAACCACCTGTCCGCATCTTCTAGCCAGTCCCAGCGTCGGCAAATAATACACGATGTAGAGTTCGCTTGGACGACATTCGTAGTGCACGTCCAAACCATCAAGGTCGGTGTTTCAAGTTGGTAACACCAATTGAATTATAGTCTATGTGCTCAAACAAATTGCCGAAACTCCGTATTACTGACATAGTTATGGCACTTGAATTCACCAGTCCTTCTTGGACAACGATGATCAAATACAGAAGGTTTCTTAACATCCTTAAGTAAGAGAAACCAGGTTTCACAAGCATAGAACAAAACTGTTCTCACCAGCGCCTTCTGGATCCGACTTTTTAGGGACAGACTAACATCACAAAGACGTCAAAGATGGCCAAGGTTGGCATAAACTGCTCTGGTTTTTACTATACGTGAATTGATCTCATTAGTCATACCACCACCAGCACTTACGCATTTATGCATGAACTTCTCGGTTACTTCTGTCTGCTCACCTGGAAGGTGCACATCAAGAAAATATCATCCACATACTCTATGTCGAGATTTCAGACACTATATCTTGGTTGGTTCATCCTAATTAACAAAGTCCACCACCACAGAATTGCAGTAGATGCAAAATTAATTTCTCAGATTTGTTAATTTGTTTTAACGTGGCTAGTTTATTATTGAATGTATTGTGTCATAATATCTACACACATCATAAATTTTCATGCACAGTGGTAACAGTAATTGATAGTATTTTTCATTCTAGTTGCCTTCAGAAGTTTGTCCAATGAAACAATCTTTCACTGTATATATTTCTATCAATTATTATTATTATTTTTAGATTCGTGTAGAGAATAGTATCCTACGTCAACGAGTGCATGAATTACAACAAGAAAATCAATTATTATCAGCTTCTTTACAATTAGGCGCTGTAGCTGCTGCTGCTCATCTTAAAAATAGACAACCTCGACCTGGTTCATCATTATCATCGGTCAATATGAATACTGCTAATGAAGGAAACACTATTACTACTAATAATAATAATGGAACAGTATCAGGAGGTGGGGTTGTATCAACATTAGCTAATAGTGAAAATTGTACAATATTAAAAGATCCCATAGAATTTACAGATTATCAATCTCCACTTACTGTATTCACATTAGATACTCCGAATAATAGTAATCATAATAATAGTAACAATCATAGTGTAAATTTCAATCAAACTAATTCTAATTGTATAACTCCTACAAGTTCACTTAATAATAATCCATGTTTTACAACATCATTAGCATCGATCAATTCTATTGGTGGATTTAATGTTTCTCAAACAATGTCACCGACGAATACATCGTCAACTTCAGAAATAATGAATCAAGTATTATGTCCTTTAACTTTACCAAGTTTAGACCATATCACTATGCAGCATACAGATACTACTACCATTAATACTACTACTAATAATAATCGAGTATCCTGAGATTCGTATACATACACATACTCATGTCCTCTTCCTTCCTAGTCTCTGTTTTCGATATAAAATCTACATAGTTGACTAACTATATATACATATAAATTAGTTCCCTTTTTGAAAAAATTAGCTTGCAATTCTTTTCAGAATTCACCTTCTGACAATTATCTTCATTCATTTAATGAACAGAGAAAGAAAGAAACTTAATTGTTCAGCACAATTTCTTTCAGAATGTCAACATAAAACTTATTACATTCCTTTTCTTCTACACATATGGTTTATTTATCTTGTTGATGAGATGAAAATGGCAGTACGTATTTTGTTGTCGTTTTTGTAGTTGTAGTCGGACAAGGCACTTCTTTCCACTATTCATCCTCATCAACATTTTAATGATAATAAAGATCTAATCATTTCTGTATCTTGACACTTATGTTTTTTCTCTTCTTCAACACTTCATTGCAACTGAATTTCATATGCTTTCTAACTTCACTTATATTATTTATTTGCCTTTCTTGTTGATCTAATCATTATCATAATAATAATAATAATAATATGTACCTGATAACTTACACTACCTTCATCATTAAGCCGACAATAATGACTGCTATTACTACTGATATAATATTTGACTTTTTCAATTCTTATTGCCTATTTTCTTGTCAATTCTTCTGAGAAGGAGAACAAGATCCATTTATTTATTCAGTCATTCGGATGAAATTTATGACAGATTTGCAAATATTCATTATAATAGGCGTATATTCTTCATTCTCTGTTTTAGGATTCAGTAATATTTTATGACTGATATTTTCTCGTTGATAATATGATCGTTCATTGTGTCTTGTTCTTTTTGCACAATGCATATACCTATATATATATATACACTCATGTGTATTGTATAATTCATTTGTCACACCACGTGTATGTGTGTGTGTGTGTGATTAGGGCAAAAATAAAGTTGGATTTCTTTTTGTTTAACCATTTTTCTTTCACCTGGTGATTTCTCATTTTCTTTTTTGTGCGTACAAAGTGTTTTGACTGCTACTACTATTATTACTATGATCATTATTCTCACTGATGGTTATTCTTTCGTTTTTTTGTTTAGAAAAATATATTTCTCGTATATTCTTTTTATTCTCATCATTGTGTTTATCTGTGATAGTGATGCTTTAATTAAAAATTGTTGAAAACTAGACGACGGTAAATCACTCTCATGACTGTCGTCATTATAACCATTCAGTTAAGTAAAAAAAAATACAACCTGGTTTATGTAACTTTTCTAATGTTTAACACAACCTACATCCATATTCACACATGAAGTGGAAATTTATCTATAAGTACATATCTATGTTGTGTTATATGTTCGTCATCACTACTACTACGACTACTACTATCACCACTATGTATTGTTTACTTCCATCTACTCACAACAGTTTTCATCTAATAATAATAATTCTTTCTTATCACCCATCTATTCATATATTGCGCCTGTTTCTTTGTCCTATCTCTTTTTGCCTGTTTAAAGTTTATCATTTGTAATTTATTATTATGTAGTTTTCTTTTCTATGTCTTTCACAATGACACACACATCCTACTAAAACAAACTGGTGTCGATTCATCTTTTAACTATTGCAAAATTGTATCACATTTTGTTCTGTTCTGTCCATTAGGTAATTTCATCACTTTTAACATGATTGTACTTTTTTGTTGTTGCACAGATTAGGGTTCTTTATCCACTCCCACCCTCCTACTAACAAATTTTGTGTTACTTCTGATTGTATGTTAAAATGCTGTGTTTTCATTGCCCAGTATCTATGATAATACTATCTGTCGTGCTTTCTGAGTCAAAAGCAATTTTTAGTTGCTATGCGAGATGACGATTTTCTCTTGTCTTTGTGTTTCTTCTCGATTTGCTTGTTTCTTGATGTAAATGAGATATTAGCCTTAGTGGGGAAAAGTTTTTTTTTTAAGAAAAAAAAAACAAACATTAAAGAAGGATTGCATATATATACATAATAATTGAGAATTAGTTGTCAATCAATAATTCAACTGGTACTCAAATGAAAAAAGACTCATAAATATTGTCATTTTTCATTTGAGGTTGTATTCATACAGCTGGGTTAGTGTAGTTTTTTTTAAAATTTTGATTGCATATTCAATGTTTTGTTGTATTTCTTCCATAATGCTTTATTCTTTCACAGAGATGATCATTTTTGTTTCATGTTCATTAGTTTTTGAGATTGATTTAATTGAATGTAGTTGGTTGTTGATTTGTTTCTTCTTTCTTTCTTTATTATTATTATTATTATTATTTTCAAGTGGGAAAAAACTCCAGAGAAAACTGGTTTTTAGCTCATCTCATAATCAAATGAAACGTGAAGATGAATGTTCATCCAAGTTTTGTTCTTTTAATCGTTTATTCGTAATAGTACAGCACAATATATCTATACATATATATGTGTGTGTGTGCGTGCGCCAAGTGATTAGTTAGTTAAAAAGCTACCTAACTGTTTCATGTTTTTTTTTAATTTTTCGCTCTCTTGGATATAATATGTATTTGTTGTTCGATTGTTTATTCGCTGGTATCTCTTTCCTATATAGAAAAGAATATGAGTAATAATTCAATGCCATTGTGAATTGTTTTTGGATTTCATACATGAATTCTCATCAGCAGGGGGTATCTTCTCTATGTCTCTCTCATATCTTCAATTGATTTACAATATGTTTGTGAAAAAACTGATTATCTATAATACACTTTTAGTGTTTAGCATAAGATCAAATGCTTCTGTTATAAACAGATTTTTTTTCTCTTCAAAACTTAGATGTAGGAGATAATATGGATAACTATGTATACTGGTTTCTCGGTTTAAACAATAGCAACAAAAAAACATGTTTTCATTGATTATATCATTATGGTTGAGCACGTATGAAATGTTTTTCTCTTCAAGATTACAGTTCTTGTTTTTTTTAAAAAAAATGAATTTTCACTTCACTTTTTATATGAAATTGAAATGAACATCAGTCAGATAAACCGCTAATATCATATTTTAATAATGACCGAGATTACATAATCTTTGGAACGTATCATTAAGATTTAGTTCTTTCGTAATCTGAATGAGATTATATATTAGATGGTGGTTGGAGGTAGTCAACAGGAAACCCTGGACCCGGGTTTCGTGCTACTTGGCACTCGTCAGCAAGGTGTACCTGTAATCTTGAGGGAACTGGTGCTCCCTGGCGGATTCGATCTCGTGTCACCCAGCTTCACAGGATACTCCGCAGTGTCGAGTCACCTAGACTGGTGGCCACATTGCAACATGATCGATAGCATTCGATCTGCACTAATAAGGACTAGACAAGCATGAGATTGATCACCACCCAGTGATCAATCAATTGTGAAATTATATATTGTTCTGTAATTTATCACCTCAGTGATTATGTGCTTACAGTTAAAAAGTAACTCAGATTCTATTCAAAAACGTTAAGTTCCTTGTTTCGAGATAGTCACAAGTAAGATAAAACAAACACTGCTTAGATTAATGTTGCCCTTTCATAATTTAGTCACATATCATAAACAGAGATAGATAGTGGCAAGTAGTAGGTCATAGGACGCGCGTTTTGTCCTACCCGAGACTCGTCGGCTGAGTAGCTGTTACATATACCTCCCCGAGTTGACGTTCACTTTGGGACTCGAAGAGACTGATCAATCACAGCCTTAAACATCAATGGAAAGCTTCAAACAATCAATAAAACCCAGTCATATATTCTTCCAAAACATCACGATTGTAAGCATAATTTAAGTATATCGAGGTTAGAAAAAAATACAAAGCACGAGAAATGTCGTATGAAATGAAGTCACTATCCCAATAACATGCTTAAGCAAAGAAAGTTTTGATATCTCTAGTTCCCGTGATATTATTTTTGTGGGTAGTTATCCTTACACTCCAACTAATACATTATTTTAGTGTCATCTGAAAACATGATATTCGAAGGCATAGCTAAGTAATGGTAGGTCAACTAAAATCAGTTGATATGAAACTCTTAATTTTGTTTTATTATATTACGGGAAACAACGAATCATAAATTTGAGATTCTTCACAAACTATATGATAACACACTTAAAATATATTCTTGTAAAAACTTCAATTTGTAAATAGTTGCATACTCCGCAGCAAGCAGTTCCTTCTATTCTACTCTATGGGTGTACTACGTGACCTTTAAAAGTGGGATATTCATAGTTTACCATTGTTTGGTCACATAACATTGTTGGCATATCGTGAAACTTCCGAGTAAGTAACTGTGATGTAAAGCATAAAATACTAGGCACATGCTAAATCGGTTGGTGAGGATTTAAATTATCGACCAAGGTGGTCGGAATATGTATTACGCTTTGGTGCGCTTGTTAGCTAAAAGGAAGGTAGGGGTGGCCAAACCGTTACACCAGTGGATAAAATCACTGGGTTTCGAGCTGAGGGGTGTTGATAGATAAAGACTAATTGGTTGCACTACGAGAGGTTATCGTGACGATTCATAAGAAATGTGACCATAATTGATTGATCACTGGGTGGTGATCAATGTCATGTGTGTCAAGTGGACGACAAGGATCGAATCCGTCAGGGAGCACCAGTTCCCTCAAGATTACAGGTATACCTTGCTGTCGACTACCTCCAACCACCATCTAATCAAAACTCATCTGTATTTAACGACAAAGCATTCTAGCGAAATTCCGATAATACTAATTAGCATAACCATTACAATTAATAAAAAAATATTTTCTCACAAAAACAACAACGGGATTGAAAGAATATAGCAAGAAAATACATGGTTCCTGAGAACAAAAATATAAGGTTGGTATTTTAAGTCTTAAAACGCAACACAGTGAGCACCGACCAAATCTCGCATGATGGAAAGGCTCTTGAAGTGGTGGAAATTTTCGTATAACTAGGGAGCATCATTGATGAAAAAGGACGGATATCAAAGCACGGACTGGAAAAGCAAGGACGGCATTTTCCTGGGATCTTGAAGGGATAAGGAAAAGAGGAACACTGAGTGACAACACGTCGGAGATCGAAAGCAGACGTCTAAAGAATGAATAACATTTAGAAACAACTGGAAAGAAGAGCTCTGGAGTGAGTTGGTTCGAGAATCCTAGTCGGCGACCTATGGTCTACGTATGGTAACAGGTGTAAGGTATTAGATTAGAATGTGAGTTGAATTAACAGTTTATAAAATTAATTAATTGAAAAATGAACATCAAAAATCAACCGAATAAAAGTGCCATTACGAATGTTTATTTTGAGAACTTCGAATAAATTGAGCACTGACTAATCTAGAAATATATCTAAACGAGCATAAAAAGCTCACTACATCAGATGAAGAGAAACAAAATGAACGCAAAAAATATAATCAATATCCTACGAATTATTAAAACGAAATGTTCTTGTGTTGGATAATATTAAATTGAATGAAGTATCATGGGTTGGGTATTGTATATCTAGGATAACGTCATGGAACAACCGAGGAACTCTTAAAAAAAAACCTTAAATCACAGAATTAAAGACTTTCCATAAACAAACAACAAAGACTGTTTGAAAAGATAAAATTCCTATCATTTCGACACAAAATTGTGCCGACAGACTATTGATGTTACATTCTGAAGAATAATTTTTCTTAAATATTTAATTGATATTCTACATCTCTATAAGACAATTCAATATGATAATGAATAAGGTTTAATATTGATTAAAATGTTGTAATAATAAAACGTAAATCTTTTAGGAAATAACATGGAACGAAAAAAATGAATGGATTTAGTAAAACAATATCAAATGCTCATTTCTTTGGTGTGTGTGTGTGTGTGTGTGTGAAAATTTCAAATGTCAAAACGTTACTATAGTGATGAAATTAGTTAATATATGTCCAAGAGAAGTTAAATATTCAGTAAAAAAATGCACAGAGATTCTATATATTTTTATAAAATGTCTTAGTGATTTTGTTTAATTAAATAAATGACAGTCAAGTATATAAAACATTATTATTATTATTATTATTATTATTATTATTATTATTATTATTATTATTATTATTATTATTTGAATAAGGGGTGAAGCTTAGCCAGTGACAATGTAGGACCAGGCATATATGTGCATCGGTACAAGTTGCCATACCTCACCACATTAGCACAACAAGATGAACACCAGATTCATAGAAGTGGTTAATTCAATGGTAGTAATATATAAAATGAAGATTGTTTATAAGGATATAGTACAGGAAGAAAGAATTAGTTCGTAGAAAGAAAGATATTAAGCGATTTTAATCTCTTAGTTTAAGGAAAGACAAAGAGTGTATACACCTACTCCACTGTGATCGATTCTGAGCCATATCACTAACACTCTCCAACCATTGGTTACGATAGTCACGCGGACCCCAAACAAGTAGTCTGCATCTACCAACATGGCTCAGACTAGAACTTAGCGACTTCAAGCACTGATGCCACGTTTTGGTTTGGCCACCCCTAACTTTCTCCCAACCATTACCAACACCGGTTAGCATTGCACGTCGTAGTAATCGCTGTTCAGGCATACGTGAGACATGGCCCAACCATCTCAGTCGATGAACATTCACAACCTCATCAACTGATATACCATCATCATTCCCTAATACCCTGCATCTAACCTCACTATTACTTACCCGGTGATCCCAGCAGATGCGAGCAATATTTATAAGACATCTGTGGTCAAATACCAATAGCTTACGAATATCCTCTACTCTTAATGGCCATGTTTCACTGCCATAAATTGACACAGAACGGACTGCCGCGCAGTATACTCGTCCTTTTATTGACAGATGGATATCTCGCCTTCGCCATAGGTGGCGTAAGGTGGCAAAAAACCAAACGAGCTTTTCGAATCCGTGCTGAGATTTCGTCAGACACCAACCCATTAGGGCTTATCAGACTTCCAACATAAGTGAAGTTGTCAACGCGTTCGACTACTTCACTCCCTATCCTTAGTTCTGGTGTTGACGCAGACCAGTCCTGAAGCAACAACTTGCATTTAGAGAGGGAGAAGCACATCCATAACATTTTGGCATTGTTGCTCACTGCTACCAAAAGACTGCACCTTATCAGAGTCTCCAACGAACAAGACTATATCATCTGGATATTCTGAGTCCATAAGTGAACATTCTGGTACGACATCAATGCCCAAAAATCCAGTCCACAAGAGCGTTATTTCCATCAGTACGTCTATGATGAGATTAAATAGAAATGAAGATAGTAGACAGCCCTGTCCGATACCACTTGACGTTGCAAAATCATATGACAGTTCGCCATCAGTTCTGACACGACTGGTAGTGTCCGAGTAAGGAGACTTCACAAGGTTTATGTAATTCTGAGGTACACCTTTCAATGAAAGACACTGCCACAGAACCTCTCGACCTACAGAGTCAAATGCTGCTTTTAAGTCAAGAAAGACCACCATTGGCGGACGCCGATAAGTATGCCTGTGTTCTAGAACCTGAAGAATGGTGAATATGTGCTCGATGCGGTGACAACCATGTCTGAAGCCAGCTTGATTTTCTCGTGTTTGCAGTTCACGAGTCTTAGTTAGGTGTCCGATAATTATCGAGGCTCGTATTTTAGATACTATATCATTTAAACTAATCCCTCTATGTTTGTCACAGGACGATTTTGACCCGTTCTTATATAATGGGACGATCAGTGATTGTGACCAGTCAGATGAGATAACGTCCAGCTCCCAGATTTTAACTAAAATGTTAATCAAGCTAATCGCTAAAATTGGATCACCATCCCTAAAGACCTTTGGAGTTAATCCATCTGGACCAGCTACTCTTCCTCGTTTCAGATTGGTTATAGCTTTTTGAAATTTAATTAAATTCGGAGTGTCTATTTCAATGTTCCATTCCGACTGTTTGGAAATGGCGGATAGTTGTAGTTGTAGAGTATCTGAAGACCAGGTGAACTGCTTCTTAAAGTGTTCCTCCTATCGTTCTAACCGTCTGAACTGAGAGCAGATAGGAGTGTGGTCCTTTTTTCGAGATTGTCTCATTCACACTTAACTTTTTAATTCCGGTTTAATTTTATTAGTCTGAAAAGCTATCCAGTTTTACGTGAAGCCATTGTCTTTTCCATCACTTTTGCTTTCGTTGCCCACCACTGCTCACTATTGTTCCATAACTTTTGGTTTAGGTAGATGTGATTTGTTTTCGCTCTTCATCGTGCTTGGAGC